GCTCGGTGAGCGGGCAACATGAATCAAATCCTGCGCTGTGATTGGCTACCCGAGCGGGCAAGATGGAGCTCCCTTGCCCGCTCGGGACCACCCGCCGTGTCTCGCAAGAAACATATCCCTGAAAGCCATATAATAAATCCTTCATTGACCAAGCTTGTTCGGTCAAGATGGCTGGATATTGGCCAAGGTCTTTTTTTGCGAGTTTATGGACCGAGACGGAGTCTATAAACCATACGTACTTACTTTGCCATGGTAGCCAAGCCTGTACGTACTTTCAGTACCATTCTCCCATGAGACAGCCGCTGCACTTGCTGGGTTTTCCTTCCACTTCGTGATTTTCTTCACAGCACCAAATGTCCCTATTCCGCCATCTTGGTTGTCATATTCCCAGTCTGGACCTCTTGTAACTTTAGCACCAGGATAAATGCCTCTTGCTTGAATTTTGATTTCCTTGCTTCTTCTTCCGACAGAAATTCTGCATCAATGCGACGAAATATAGGGTAAGAAATATTTGAAAATAAAACTGACTGCTTTAATTCTAGAAAAATATATTTCAGACCTGATTGATTTTAATCAAGATCATAATACTAGGGACACCCACTGATAAGAGGTGAAAGTTGCTCAGCAATTGTCTTCACTCCCATTCCCTTATGTGACATGTACATATTTTTTAAAATCATTCCTAAAATGTACTTTCAGAACTAAAAGATTGAAATTTTCTTGTTTCTAACCTAACGTAGACGATCACTTAAAACGGCATGTACTAAAACCCAGACGGTAGACACTAGACGATAGACGGTAGAAGATAGACGATAGACGATAGACGATCGATAGACGATAGACAGACGATAGGTCAAATTTATCAAAAACGAGACATATTTGCGTGACAAGTTTGTCACGCAATGTTTAGGGAAATGATTTCCATATAAAAACCGGATGGCGTGCAATGTCACATGAATGATTAGAAACTCCAAAACCAAATTTCCACAAAAACAGTGGCATAA